CGGGTCCTGCTGAGGCGGCATCAAAGGGCTCATTAGGATCCATTGTGTTTAAATTAGAGATAATCTCGGGCACAGTGTGGGGAGAGGACTCGGGGTKGGGGAAAGCTGCAATTTCCCTGCCATTGTCACTCGGCTGTCCCTGATTGCCAGGAACCGCTGAAAATCCCCTGATTTACTGAGCCAGGCTGTGATTTGCACCACGGGCAGGGGCTGAGTGTCACCAGGGGGACRGTGGGGACAGTGTGGCTTTGGGGACAGGCTCCGTGTGTGATGTGTGCCCTCCTGTTTTCCCCAGGACCGAGTCGGTGGCAGAGAAGATGCTGACGAACTGGTTCGCCTTCCTGCTCCACAAATTCCTCAAGGTAAGGAGAATCAGAGCAGGGATGACACTGCTGCTTTGCTGTCTCACCCTGCAGCCACCCCCGGGTGGATTTGGGGTCAAACTCCTCCAGAGGATGGAAGGAGAGGTGGGAATTTGCTCCAYGCTCAAAGCCTCCCTCAACCCTCAGGTCCCCTGAGTAAATCCTGTGGAAAGGAGGTTCTGTTTTTCACCTCCTCATTATTTAGGGAAACTCTCACATCTCCATATCTCGGCTTCCACAGCTCTCAACTCAATTTGTGGGTTTGGAAGCSCCTCTGAATTTGCTCCAGGGGAGTGAACAGTGCGATCGGGATCTCAAATTGCCATTTTTTACAGCCATGCACATTCAGGAGTGGTTTTACTCTGCCAAAGCCAGCAGAGCCATGGAGCTGTGGGGCTCATGGGCTTGGCTGTTCCCTCCAGGAGCTGCTGGGGCCAGCTCTGGGTGGCTGAGGGTTCAATTTGTGGGGTGGGGTCAGCTCTGGGTGGCACAGGGGCTGAGGGTTGGGTCAGTGGGGCCAGATATGGGCTTAGGGTTCAATTTGTGGGATGGGGGCAGCCCTGGGTGGCTGAGGAGTGGGTCTGTAGGGCCAGACATGGACTGAGGGTTCAATTTGTGGGGTGGGGTCAGCTCTGGGTGGCACAGGGGCTGAGGGCTGGGTCAGTGGGGCCAGACATGGGCTGAGGGTTCAATTTGTGGGGTGGAGGCAGCCCTGGGTGGCACAGGGTTGAGTCTGTAGGGCCAGACACGGGCTGAGGGTTCAATTTGCAGGGTGGGGACAACCCTGGTTGGCACAGGGGCTGAGGGTTGGGTCAGTGGGGCCAGACACGGGCTGAGGGTTCAATTTGTGGGGTGGGGGCAGCTCTGGGTGGCACGGGATTGGGTCTGTAGGGCCAGACATGGGCTGAAGGTTCAATTTGTGGGGTGAGGGCTACCCTGGGTGGCTGAGGGGTGGGTCAGTGGGGCCAGACATGGGCTGAGGGTTCAGTTTGTGGGGTGGGGCCAGCCCTGGGAGGAATCCTGTGCCAAATGGGGTTTGGAGCCCCACAAGAGAGGCCCCTCAGCCCCGTGTCACCTCTGGGCTCCCTTTCTCGTGCAGGAATGTGCTGGAGAGCCCCTGTTCATGCTCTACTGTGCCATCAAGCAGCAGATGGAGAAGGGACCCATCGATGCCATCACGGGCGAGGCGCGCTACTCGCTGAGCGAGGACAAGCTCATCCGGCAGCAGATCGAGTACAAGACCCTGGTGAGTGGTGCTGCAGAGCTGCCAGCCCATCCTGCTGGCTTTGGAGCAGGGATCAACACCCTGCCTGAGGTGTGAGAGTTTCCTGGGCAATAAGGAGCTCTGTCCCAGGCAGGGGTGTCCCAAATTTTCAGGTTTGGAAAGGTTGGTGGAGGGGGAGGTTCTGTCTCCCTGTGCATTGAGCACTGCCCTCCTGCAGCAAAGAAAAGAACATCCAGGACTCGTCTCCTGGCAGTAATGATATTAAAAAAATGTTAGATGGAATAATTTTGATGTATTTAGGGCTGCAGTGGGGTTTTTTATGGGACAGGTGGCTCGCAGTGGGGTTTTTTTATGGGACAGGTGGCTCCTTTAGCACGGTGTGGTTCTTCTCTTGCAGATCCTGAACTGTGTGAACCCAGACAACGAGAACAGTCCCGAGATCCCCGTGAAGGTGCTGAACTGYGACACCATCACCCAGGTCAAGGAGAAGATCCTGGACGCCGTGTACAAAAACGTGCCCTACTCGCAAAGACCGAGAGCTGTGGACATGGATTTGGGTAGGAGCTCCCCTGCCCCATGGGAGGGGTGATCAGAGGGGCTTTGGGGGGCTCCTGGTGGGGTTTGCAGAGCCTGGAGCCCCCCCTGACCGTGGCCTTTCCTGTCCCCAGAGTGGCGGCAGGGCCAGATCGCCCGCGTGGTGCTGCAGGACGAGGACATCACCACCAAAATCGAGGGTGACTGGAARCGCCTCAACACCCTGGTGCACTATCAGGTGAGGGAGCAGCCCCTCTGAACGGGAGCTCAGGGCTTTGTCTGGACTGAATTCCCGAGTGTCTCATCTGCCCAGGCTGCCAGGGAGCTCAGGTCGCTGTGACAAACCAGAAGGGTTCCATGTGCTTGAGCATTACGGGGGAAAGCAACCTTGACACGGAGCTCAGGGGAGGCAGCAGAGGTGAAAATTGGCTGAATTAAAGCTGCCAGCCCTGAGGGAGAGGCAGAGCGAGCCGTGCAGGGGCTGAGCTGATGCTGCTGGGGATGAGGAGCCTGGGGAGGGCAGCACGGGCAGCTCAGGGCTTTGTCTGCGGGTCTGGGACAGCCTGAGTGCAGCAGGGGAGGAAAAAAATCACAGGAAAGGGATGAAGCAGCCTAAGAAATTCTTGAAACCTTTAGCTGGATAGGGCAGTGCCTGTTGGAAAGGGCTCCTTACGGTGTGAAAGTGGGAAGAGAGGGAGCTGGGGAAGGTTTGGGTGCAGGAATCAAAGCAGAGGATGGAAGGAGAGGTGAGGAGGGAGCTCAGGAAGGTTTGGGTGCAGGAATCAAAGAAGGAGATGGATGGAAAGGCAGGTGAAGAGGGAGCTGAGGAAGGTTTGGGTGCAGGAATCAAAGCCGGAGATGGACTGAGAGGTAAAGAGGGAGCTGGGAAAGGTTTGGGTGCAGGAATCAAAGCAGAAGAAGGAAAGGCAGGTGAGGAAGGAGCTGAGGAAGATTTGAGTGCAGCAATAAAGCAGAAGATGGAAGGAGAGGTGAGGAGGGAGTTAGGGAAGGTTTGGGTGCAGGAATAAAGCAGGAGATGGAAAGGCAGGTGAGGAGGGAGCTGGGGAAGGTTTGGGTGTAGAAATCAGAGCAGAAGATGGAAGAAGAGGTGAGGAGGGAGCTGGGAAAGGTTTGAGTGCAGGAATCAAAGCAGGAGATGGAAAGGCAGGTGAGGAGGGAGCTGAGGAAGGTTTGAGTGCAGCAATCAAAGCAGGAGATGGACGGAGTGGTAAAGAGGGAGCTGGGGAAGGTGTGGGTTCAGGAATCAAAGGAAAGGCAGGTGAGGAGGGAGCTGGGGAAGGTTTGGGTACAGGAATAAAGGAGAGGTTGGAAAGGCAGGTGAGGAGGGAGCTGGGGAAGGTTTGGTTCAGGAATCAAAGCAGAGGATCGAAGGGCAGGCGAGGAGAGCGTTGAGGAAGGTTTGGGTGCAGCAATCAAAGCAGGAGATGGATGGAGAGGTAAAGAGGGAGCTGGGGAAGGTTTGGTTCAGGAATCAAAGCAGAGGATGGAAGGGCAGGCGAGGAGAGGGCTGAGGAAGGTTTGGGTGCAGGAATAAAGGAGAAGAACGAAAGGCAGGTGAGGAGGAAGCTCAGGAAGGTTTGGGTGCAGCAATCAAAGAAGGAGATGGATGGAGAGGTAAAGAGGGAGCTGGGGAAGGTTTGAGTGCAGAAATCAAAGCAGGAGATGCAAGGAGAGGTGAGGAGGGAGCTGGGGAAGGTGTGGGTGCAGGAATAAAGGAGAAGATGGAAAGGCAGGCGAGGAGAGGACTGAGGAAGGTTTGGATGCAGGAATAAAGGAGAAGAAGGAAAGGCAGGTGAGGAGGGAGCTGGGGAAGGTTTGGGTGCAGGAATAAAGGAGAGGATGGAAAGGCAGGCGAGGAGAGGGCTGAGGAAGGTTTGGATGCAGGAATAAAGGAGAAGAAGGAAAGGCAGGTGAGGAGGGAGCTGGGGAAGGTTTGGGTGCAGGAATAAAGAAGAAGAAGGAAAGGCAGGTGAGGAGGGAGCTGGGGAAGGTTCGGGTGCAGCAATCAAAGCAGAAGAAGGAAGGGGAGGTAAAGAGGGAGCTGGGGAAGGTTTGGGTGCAGGAATAAAGCAGAAGAAGGAAAGGCAGGTGAGGAGGGAGCTGGGGAAGGTTTGGGTGCAGGAATAAAGCAGAAGATGGAAAGGCAGGTGAGGAGGGAGCTGGGGAAGGTTTGGGTGCAGGAATCAAAGCAGGAGATGGAAAGGCAGGTGAGGAGGGAGCTGGGGAAGGTTTGGGTGCAGGAATAAAGGAGAGGATGGAAAGGCAGGTGAGGAGGGAGCTGGGGAAGGTTTGGTTCAGGAATCAAAGCAGAAGAAGCAAAGGCAGGTGAGGAGGGAGCTGAGGAAGGTTTGGGTGCAGGAATAAAGGAGAAGAACGAAAGGCAGGTGAGGAGGGAGCTGGGGAAGGTTTGGTTCAGGAATCAAAGCAGAAGAAGCAAAGGCAGGTGAGGAGGGAGCTCAGGAAGGTTCGGGTGCAGCAATCAAAGGCTCCCCTGGCAGTTCTGTCTCTGCTCAGGATAACTGCATTAATTGGGACCCGTAACCTACTCCTGTCCATCAGCASCTCCCCAGAAGTGTTGAGTATTTAATCTGGCACTTTTCCCTGTTTATCCAGCATCTCCAGTCCATCAGCTGGCTCACGCTGGGGGCCTTGAACRGGAGCCAGTATTGACAGGAGCCCTGCAATCAGAGAGCCAGGCAGGAGAGCACATCAATATGCACGGCGCATGTTAAAAAGCACCTCCGGGGTCAACTTTTCCAAGCAGCCCCCAGGATTTAAACACAGATTGCCATGAAATGTCAGAGGAGTTGTGCAGATTAATTCCATTGTTCCTAAAAAAAAATCTGTTTTACCTGACAGTTGCAAGGGATTAACCAACACGCAGGGAAGCAGCGAGACTTTATTATGCCTTGATCTTTAAAAGTCACGGGGAGGAAGTCGGGAGTGAAAGCTGTGCCTGTCTGATGAGTGTTGGGTGCTGGGGGAGGGAGCATTTCCATCCCAGGGCTGTGGGAACGCCCCAGCCTAAAAATTACCCTTAAAATAAACAAAATCCTCGCAGCTCTCGAGATGCTGCAGCTCTTGCTGCCGTTTGAATGTCAGGTTTGCTCTGGGAGAAAGGAGAATTTGGCTGCCAAAYATTCAGCCAGGTAGGGACACGTGTGTGCTGCTCCGGTTCCAGCTCCACAGCCCAGTTGAGCTGCCTCAGGCATTAAAGAGAAGTAAAAATCTTTTAGGTGCAGCAGAAATCTTGTCAAGGCGAGGCTTTTGTCAAAAGTAAACAGCAATAAATATAAATAAATATTAAAAATATATAAAAATATAAAAATAAAAATAAATATTAGATATAGATATAGATATAGATATAGATATAGATATAGATATAGATATAGATATAGATAAATATAGATATAAAAATAAATATAGATATAAATATATATGAATATAAATATGGATATAAATATGGATATAAATATGGATATAAATATAAATATAAATATAAATATAAATATAAATATAAATAATATAAATATAAATAATATAAATATAAATAAAAATATGAATATAAATATAAACATAGAAATGAACATAGATATAAACATATATAAATATAGTTATGGATATGGTTATAGAGATAGATATAAATTTATTATTACTATTATTGTTATTGCTACTGCTATTATTTGTTATTCCTGTCAGTTTGAGAGTTTTTTTCTGTTGAAGCAAATGTTTTTATTAGGTATCAAAAATGCTCCAGGACTACACAGTAAAACAAACACACGGGTAAAGGCCCAGCTTAARGAGGGTATAAAATCACCAGAGTTCCAAGTGCTGCTGCCTCACATTTCACAGGAATGTGAGGCACAAACCAGGTGTGGTTCCAGCCATTAACATAAATGTGGATTTCCAGAAGAGTAGTGAAGATGATTTCTGGATTTCTAGGAGAGAAATGGCAGCTGCTTTGTAACGCTCTGCCCATCTTTTATTCAGAGCTGGCTGGACTCCAAACCCTCCTCCTCCTCCTCCTCCTCCTCCTCCTCCTCCTCTCTGTACCCTGAGGGTTCTTATTTAATTCCGAGGGTTTCCCAGCTCCACACCTGGATGTTGGGTTTTGACACAAAAAAAACCGCTTTTGTTTTCTGCATTAGAATCACAAAAACACAATAACTGATCAAACGCATTTATCRTGGGAAGCCTTCACACGCAACACCCAAACTGGAATTAAAGGGAAATATTCATCTTTCTAATAGTTTTGAACCACTTTATCAAATTATAGAGGGAGCTGTGCGCCTCCTGCTTATTTCTTCATTTATAAAAAATAGATGTAGAACCTTAAATAAGTGTAATTCTTTGTTAAATTCTCTGKAGCTTTCATACATGGGGAGGAATTGTATTACATTTGTGTCGTACCCTTTTGGTTTCATGGCCATTAAACTCCATGGGAGAGTCTTACCCCGTGTGGTTTCGCTCAGGAAAAAATGAAACACTGAATTTAATATCAGATGATTTACAGTGGCTCACGCAGGGTTAACTCAGAGGCRGCAGAGCATGAATACCTGTCAGCTCCTGCGAGTCTGGAGAGGCCAGGAGACCAGGAAACTGCTTTAAATGAAAAAATTAGGAGGAGAAARGGAAGGTTTGGGTGGAAAACGAGCCTTAAGAGCCGAGGGTGGTGCAAATGTGGAGCTGGAATCATTTCACCCTCACTGCCCTGTAAAAAGCACCACAACCTGGGCTCCCTCCTCCCCCAGCCCAGGTTTTATTTTCCTTGTCTTTCAGGTGTTTTGTGCCCCGTGTTTCCAGCCTGTAGAATAATCAGAATATTTATAAAGTTGTAAAGCAGCCAGGCAGCTCTGAGCACGTCCCTGGGGTGTTGGGGGAGCGAGGGAGATGGAGGCTGATTTGCACAAAGCTGGGGCTGAGCTGACAGGAGCCATTCCACCCCAAATTTACGGAGTGAGAGGGTTCTGTGCGTGTGTTTGTGTGGGATTTTTAGTGCCTCTCTCTCCCAGTTAAGCACAGCCCTGGTGGAAAGGGATCCAGCATCCTGGGCTTGGGTTTCTCCCCAAAGTGGCAGCTACAAACAGCCTAAAAAAATAAAATCAGCGCTGATCACTCCTTCCACTGACTCAATAAATTGGATGAAACGAGGCTGGAGCGGCAAAGGAAATAATGGAGGTGTTTGGAGGGTTTTGCTAAGGAATCTCTCACTTTCCACTATCACCAGCAATAATAGTAACTCGGATTTCCATGAAAGCTTTCATCTGAACGCAGCCCAGGTCACTGTGTGCAGATGTTGTAAAAACCCCTGCAGCTGCTGGGGGAGCAAAAAACCTCCTTTTATAGGGTCAGGGCTCAGTCCATCACAGGATTCCAGGCAAATAAAGCAGGATTTAGCCCCAAAATGCAATTCCTGCAGCAGGAAGGGGCATTTCTTTTGTGCTGAGCCTTTAAAAAGTGTCTGCCAGGCCCTGTTCCCTGCTCCCTCGCTGTGCTGCACTGCAGGTCACAAGTTCAAAATTAAATGCCACTCAGGCCCCTTCCCTGCAAACCTGCAGATCCTTAATTAAGGGGAATAAGTTAGAAAACTTCCAGTGACTACCAGATTTATAGGGGGGATAAAATTAAACATGGCTACTAAAATCTGCTGTAACAAAACCTTGTTAGCGCTAATGTTCATTTATAGTTTGACTTCCCCGTGTTTAATTCCTTCTCTGGAGCAGTAAAGGGATAACAATTAAATACCCTGAAAGATGGCTTTATGACTTGCTCCGCCGTAAATCAAACTTTTAAAGTTCGTAAAAATTGCTAAAATAAAAAATGGTTTAATAGGAATGTTTTATGGCCCATAACGTTATTACAGCCCTTTTTATTCCCCCTGCATTGTTACTTTAATTGGATCACAACAATTCTTGGGATTCTCATTTTTATTGGGGAAGGCATAATCTTAAATCAGAACGACCAAAAGCATCTTCACCACGTCTTTTGATTTATCTCTTCTTTCCTTCAGTGTCTCGTTGTGGCACAGGCACAGGCAGCGTGTTCTGGGCTGTTCCTCCCAGGATTTTTGGGATCAACAGCCAGGAATCACCAAGAGGACAGGGAATCTCGCTGACCTTGCCCTGCTTTGTCCCCACAGGTGTCAGATCGCTCCGTGGTGGCTCTGGTTCCCAAACAAACCTCCTCCTACAACATTCCWGCCTCTGCCAGCATCTCCCGCACGTCCATCAGCAGATACGGTGAGAAACGGGACGGGAGGGGATGGCTCATGTGCAGATTGAGGTGGGGAAAAAGCAGAATACTCCCCCAAAGAACCACCCCAAATGAACATAAATCCAAACAGTGAAACCTCCTCGGCTGCTGGTTTGGTTTGCAAAGGCTTTTGAGAGTGGCAAAAGGACTGGAAAAGGGGGAGAAGGGAAAATGAAGCGCCAAACACAAAAAGAGCCATTGGGAATGTGGGTCTGGGGGAMGTTTCAAAGGCTCAGAGCAGGTGGGTGATGCAGGAAAGGATCTTTGATCCCCTTTGAGCCCCTGAGCATCACAGAAAAACCCAATTCCTCCCCGTTCCCTCTCCAAGTGCAGGATCCTGAGCTCTGACGGGTCACAAATGGGGAAGGGCAATCTCAGCACCGAGTGCAGGGATGTGCACGCCTGGGAATTCCTGATTTGCATAATGGCAGGGCTCAGCACATTCCASAGGGTCCCTGAAGATGCTGCAGCCTGAGAAAATGAGCCTGCGAGGTGCCAGGTGTGCGCTYCCAGCACTAAATCCACAATAATTGTAATAATAGACTTCCATAAAAGGCAGCGGTGGCAAAACCTCCCGAGTGCTGATCTTTCATTATGGTTCATTTTACAGAGTGTTTTTACCAGCAGAAAGTCTCCTGACAAACCCACCTCCTCCTCTTGTTTATAGCTCCCAAAATAATGTTGTTTCTTCTCCTCGAGCAAGGGTTCTGAGGAGACAAAAATAAAGGAGTTTTGAGGTAAAAAAAACAGGAGAAAAGGCATTTCTGCCTGCCAGGTGTAACCCTRCAAGTGCCCAACAAATTCCAGAGTTCAGGTGGTGGAAAAATCAAGGCTGGGTCCCACAACCTGAGCCCTCAGCACTCATCGATCTCTGTCAGCTGGAAAAGCTCTTGCAAAGCACCAAYGTGAGCCATCATCGCTCATGTTAAGATTAATATTTCTAATTGTGCCGGCAGAATTTAAATTAGATACTTATTTACTTCCCCTGTTATACATCAGTGCGGAGATATGTTTAAAAATAGAATTACTGGATGCTTCCTGAGCTGTCCCCCTGTCTGTCTCCTTAATTACATCAGTTGGAGCGCTCATTTATCTAAGCCTTAATCAGGGATGAAAATCCAGCTACTTTGGTAATGACTTGAGTATTTCCCTCAGCTGATTTACGATCGATCCCCGCGCTYTTGATGAGGAGGGTGAGCAGTGAATTGAAGGATAAAGTTGAGGAAAATGCACGGGATTCCCAGAGAACAAAGAAATGCAGGGAGAGGAGAAATCCAGCGAGGCACAGTCGGGCTCCTCAGCCTCGTGTCTCATCCCAGAGATTTGGGGTTGGGATCCAGGAAGGGACATTCTTTGGGAAATGGAATATATAAACAAATAAAGTGAAAGAAATCAATAAGTGAATTACATTAAATGAGTGAAATATATTAATAAGTGAAATATATAAATAAGTGAAATATATAAATAAGTGAAATATATGAATAAGTGAAATATTAAACAAGTGAAATATATGAGTAAGTGAAATATATGAATAAGTGAAATATACAATAAGTGAAATATAAAAATAAGTGAAATATATAAGTAATATATATAAATAAGTGAAATATATAAAGAAGTGAAATATATGAATAAGTGAAATATATGATAAGTGAAATATATAAA